CTTCACTAAACATGTTCGCGGTGAGGCCTCCTCTCATCTGCCTTGTATTTATTCTTATATGTATTTGTGAACTCTTGCGGAAGCGTTTTTGTTGGCTATCTGGTTTCCATGCCTTACATTAAAAGTATTTTTCGTTGGCTTTGAACCGAAGAATCGAAGTCTTCATTAGTCTGTTCATAGGTTTTAAACAAAAAAGCAAGGACGTAATATAGCATTCAGTTTAATAAGGCGTGCTTTATATGGGCTGGATTCCAGATTGACTAAGAAATGCGAGATAGAAGAAGGAGAAACGCAGACCAAATAGCAGAGACGCAAGAACTTCCATCATGGCTCCCCGAGGTCACCCATCTATTCCACACAAGTCCTCTGGGTACGCCCCTTGTTCGTCCTTTCTTCCTTCTCGAGAATCCTTGGCTAATCACTCTTGTTTGTTTCACTTTTGTTTGAGATCATGGACTACCTTTTGGCTCTTCTTTTTCGCTTCATGAACTGGTAACTTTTAAATGTAGTATTTTCATTTATTTACCTATTACATTTTTCTACTATTTCATGAGGAGGAAGGTAGGTAGAATAGTTAATAGATGCGCCTATTTTTGTTTGCCAGCGGTACGAAGCCAGGCTTTAATCCCGACCTCTTTATTTTTCTAGGCTTGCTTAGATCGAAACAAACTTTGATGAAGAATATGTTGACCTAATCTTGGGTGATTCCATAAAATTATTGCATAAGCCACGTTCTCAGTACTACCTTTCAGTGGTTTGAATGGAAATGGTGCGTTTGGCACATTCCAAAGGATTAATTACACCGAACATTTTCCATCTAACATTTTGCTTCAAAGCGGCGACTATCTCTTGTTCTTAGAAAGTTGTCCCATAGGTTTGATTGCCCGTATTCATACCCAACCATGAGTGGCCCCGCCTTATGGCCACGCCCCGATGAGGTGCGAACCTCCGTTCGTCGATGCCCTACCCAGTATAATTGTACCGTTACCGAACTCATCCCGGCTGTCGCCCAGATGCGCTTCGATAGCCCTTGATTTACATCTATACTCACCAATTATCGCAATATTGGCTCTTTTAGGAATTCCTGGGTCAAATTTGCATGAGCCCAAGGTTGCTTTAGGATTAGCTCCCGTGGGTCACTCTCGAGGTTTACGCATGGAAATCCCTCACTTCGGTGACCAACCTGCTGCAGTTTTTTGTATGCAAATATACTCACCTACATAGGCCGACGTACAGACATTTCTGAGTGTTACACATCCTGCCTGGTTGTTTCAGTCGAGCTCGTTTTCCCAAATTTACGAACGAAAGGCGATTGGAAAAAGGGCAGGTCATTATTTATTAAAACGTGAGCTACGCTAGAACTTGCAATATTCCTGAAAGTTTTGTCCTTTCATGGCGTTGAAATTGTTCCTATTTCAAGTTTACGAACTATTCCTTCAATTTTTGTCATTTAACGTTTGTTGACCTATACCTTCTTCTGGGTGCAGCACCTTTTTCTGTTTAAAGAAATACTTATCAATATTTGCACAGTCCGTCAATCAGTTCGATACAAGTGTTCTTGACAGCACCAGCAGTTGTGTTTGCGCGAGTATCAAATATCACATCATTCGTTGCTTATCTAAAGCTAATCCTCAGCCTTCTGTATTGGACCCTTCCTCAGCGAACTCCGGTTTGGGTGATTTTACTTGGCTTTCTAGGAAGAGCGGGTTCCTTCACGAAGCGTGGTGAGAAGTTGTGAATCTGGATAGGACTGTAAGAATGGCTGACAGAGTTTTTTTTGTGTACTTATTTCCTTGAATATTGTAATTTTGGAGAAGGATCAGTCGAACCGCGCATTTTCATTCTCTACTCCTCCACTGTCTAATTTTTTTCAAAATTTGGCTAAAAAAAAGTCGCCCATCCGCACTCGCATGCACTTTGGAGGGCTCATTAATCACAAATTTCTCTGCTTGTCAGGTTTCAGGTTACCTGACGAGCCTGACGGGCCAATTTGTCTAGGTTGTCATAATTAACGGTTACTGAAGAATGCCACCTGCTTTTCTGAAGAGAATTCTGGTCGGCTGTGGGATTTTTTATCGGGATATCTTTGGACCACAGTGCTCTGCATAAGCCTTCGAGAACTCTGAAGACACATCGGACTTATTGACCCATTTGTTCATGAATTTGTTCCTCTTCCACTGACTTGCAGATTGCAATTAGCTCTCGATCAGACAAGAGAAGGATTTTCTGAAAACCTTCTCAGACTCATGCTATTCATATGAGTTTCTTAGAAAGGTTGGATATTTGTTCTACTTCTCAATGGTATTTTGCTTGTAGTTGTTATGGTAACGTTTGCAGTAATTTTATTGTAATTATCAATGTGATCGATCCGCGCGACGCTACTCTTCGACTGTTATTTACCCTAATTACCGTTTCTCTTTTTTTTTGTGACCATTTTTCTCGTTTTCCGAAACCTTTCTGCTGTATGGATGGGTTCCATTGCTCAAATATTCAATTATTGTTGAATGTGACATTCGGAAGAGAAATGTGCATATTTCGACCTAAGTTCTGACACCAAAGAAACTGTAACTACCGAAGACAGTAGTAAGCACAAAAACGGTTTGTAAATGAAGTTTTACCAAATTTCATTATGTCACTCCAAATATGTATGGCAACTGTTCTCTCATCGAGATGTTCTGCCGATGGGTCATCGGTTCATCAAACGCTTCACTTGACCCATTACCTTTCATTCCTTTTGTAGCACCTAAGTGTCTATCGTTGTTATTAAGTGATCTCTCCCACACCCTCTCAATAGACTCTGATGGGTTGCCATTGGCAGAATCTCGCATTCTTTTGCGCTATCATCGTCACACATTCATCAACATCTCGTCGTTTTTGTCGTATTCGCTATATTCTTTCTGTCTGAAAGAAGTAATTGCTAAGTATCATATTTTCAGACGACTCAATAAATGCGACTAATAGTATAACATTATGTGGTTAAGCATAGCTGCAATACTTGGAATAGCATTACTAACAGAATCTTTTCAAAAATGTCCCAATGGGTGAGTATTTTGTTTGTTTTCTAGTTGTTCTATCAATTTAACCGAAGTTGGCCTGTCGATTGTTGGGACGATATCTTCATGAGCTGTTTAAAAACTATCGTTTCCTTGTGCATAGCTGAATTTTTATTAGCATAACTTATTGTTAGATAGTTTTGGATGTATCGACAAGGCCGTCTAGAAAACCTTTTGATAAACTGCTTAAGATGCGTTAAAAATGTGGCTTTCAATTTTGACCATTTCTTTGATATTTTCTTGTCTTTTTTGGGAATATTTTAAATGTTTTTTCAGTTGTGATTGTCTCCCGGATCCACTAGTAGAGTCATCGTTTTCCTACCTGTGCCGATGGTCGTCCCTCCCGTCCGACTTCCGGTTTTCAAATTCGTCTTTGATGCGATCTAT